AAAACCCCAAACCGACTTTTACCTAAGCCAACTCTAAGCCCAAAACCCCAAACCGACTTTTACTTAACCCAACTCTAAGCCCCAAAACCCCAAACCGACTTTTACTTAACCCAACTCTAAGCCCCAAAACCCCAAACCGAGTCTTACTTAACCCAACTCTAAGCCCCCAAAACCCCAAACCGACTTTTACTTAACCCAACTCTAAGCCCCAAAACCCTGAACCGACTCTGACTTAACCCAACTCTAAACCCCAAAACCAAAACAACCCAAACCTACTCTTACCTAACCCAACTCTAAACCCCAAAACCCCAAAGGCCAATCCCCTTCTGACAACCTTTGGCGGTGGCCTCTGAATTGGCACTTCAAGTCTCCCTCCCTGCCAAACATAGGGTTTAGGGCTTGTGGAATAGGGAAGTGATCTACATTACTAGCACGAGAGTCCTTAAACCATAAACCCTGCACCTTAAACCCTAAACCCTAAACACTAAACCTACACCGTAAACCCTAAACCCTACACCTTAAAGCCTAAACCCTACACCCTACACCTTAAACCCTAGACCTTGAACCCTAAACCCTAAACCCTAGACCTTGAACCCTAAACCCTAGAGCTTAAACCCTAAACCCTAGTACCAACCACTGTGCTGCATGGCTCCTGGGCAGCCTCGCGGTGCTCACCTGAAAGGGGCACGGAGAAGATTGCCTTTTTTAACTGTTTGGGCTCCAGTTTTTGGCTTAGGGCTTAAGGTTCGGGGTAGTAGGGTCAGGGGTTCAGGGTTTAGGGTTTAGGGTTCGGTGTAGTAGGGTCTGGGGATTTTCGGTATGATTGTTTGTTAAGGTTTAGGGTTTAGGGCTTCGGGTGTAGGGTTTAAGGCTTGGGGTTTAATGTAGGGGCCTTAATAATTAGAATAGGGTTTTGGGACCCATTATACTATACTTCTATAGTAAGGAACCCCCAGAATAGTATGGGTAATTATTTAGGCCCCTTCATTAGGGTTCGAATCCTTCAGCTGGACCTACAGTGGCCGGTGGCCGTTTCGTCCTGCGGAGTTTTGATTTCAAGATTGCAGCTTTGGCGTGCAAGATCTCTGGCTTCGGTTAGAGGGAGGCAGAAAGATAGAGCGAAAAGACTGCTGGAACGCAACAGAAGCATACCATGCTCGACGCTCTAGTAGCTCGATAATACTGGGTTACTCTACTATGGGGTTCTCGAGAAAGTGCTTTCTACGGATCCACCCATGATGACACCTAGAGCACATGCAGAATCCCTCACCTTATAAGGACCGTAACTTATCATAAAGGCAACCGGGACTGCTCCGATCGCAGAATGTCGAAGTCTAAAGGGGTTCCAGGATTTTTAGGGTTTAGGGTTTAGGGGCTTAAGAGTGCTGCTGCTGTAGAGGTTTAGGTTTAGGCTTCAGTGGTCCAGATTTGACGTGCAGGAGTTGATGAGGGCTTACAGCAATCGTTTAGCAGACATGCTCAGCAGTTACTCATCCGGTTATTGCCATCCAGGGAGTCAACCCCTCAACTGCCTGCACCTGTTCCGGAACTAGAGCTGGAGCTTGTCACCTCCAGTCTCCACGTCTTTCCAAACTTTCACACCATCACATCAGAGCCCTTTCGAACATCCCTAAGCTGGGCCTAAACCATGCTTTTGACTCATGAGGGAATCCGGTCCTCGAGAGGAACGTGGCTCCTCGGCTGCGTCCTTTCGGCAAGTGGATTCATTACTGTAGAAGCCTGATTTATAACCATGTCGCTTTATAGCCCCTGACATGCCTAGATGGTGACCCAAGACCCTGCTCTAATTATTAAGCCCGCTATAGGTAATGGTAGTGTAGGGGCCTTAATAATTAGAATAGTGTTTTGGAGCTTTTTTTGTATAATTACAATATGGAACCCCCAAAAGGGGTATAGGTAATTATTAAGCCCCTTATAGCAACTCCTACAGGTTGGCTGAGTGGCAGAAATGCTCCCAGGACAGGATTCTGTCTCACGGCTCAAACCCCGCAAACCGATACTCCCAGCTCCCCAAACAATTTAAACACTGCCGAAAAGGGGATTTGATACCACTAACAAACAGTTCTGAAGACTGACCTGAGAGCCAGAATTCGGCTGCTGTAAGATGTTTGAGTGTAGTGAAGGACGGCATGACATTTGCTAGCTATGTATCAATAGGAATGGGAACTCCAAGCAACTTGCAGAAACAAGAGCCCAAAGACTGAGAATGAACACCACTAGCATGCTTCTGAGCACCTTATCGCTGTCTGCGCGCTGTCCCCAATCAGGGACTATGTTTCGGCGGGACTGGCGAGCTCAAGCGAACACCTGCATCGACTCTTGGCATGAAGCTGACCCAACAGCCCACACCACCCTAACCTCCCTCAAGCTGCAAAGCCTGTGAGCCTAACATCCCGGGCCCTAGCTACCCCAAACGCTAGCAACTGTACCCTCCAAACTCCTACAGTCCTTCTTGTGCTCCTTCAACCTGACCCTAAGAAACCCAGGGCCAAAAACTTGTCTGTCGTCTGAACCCAGCCTTGTAAACCCCGGACATGAAACCCCTTGCCCATGTCCTTCTTCTTCTCCTTCTTCTTTTCTTTCTTCTTGGAGGAGCCAGTCTTCTCGCCTGCCTCCTGCATCAGTACGGACGGACGGAATCATCTGAGAACAGTTTACGTGACGAACCCTCTAACAACCCTAAGTTTACGAAACCCCCTAAACCCTAAACCCCTAAACCCTGAATGTTAAACCCAAGCCTCATCAAACCCGAACCCCTGTACTTATGACTATGACTCCAAATCAAAGGCAAGGCCTCCAGCGGCTCCACTTTCGCGACCTGCAGAAGCAGTATTTACGCAAAAATATATGCAGCGTTTAAGGTTTAGGGTTTACGGTTTAGGGTTTTAGGGCAGGGTTTAGGGTTTAGGGTTACAATAATATGTACTATAATATACCATAATATACTGCACCGAAGCTTGGGACATCGCGCTTCTCTGTGATGGAGGCAAGAACGCCTGGAGCCTTCACGCCTACAGGGCGAAGCATTGTAACCCTAAAACCAGAATTCCTGGATACGAGGTGCAGGCTGTAGTAGCCTTTACTTGCTTCCCCGATAAGCCACGGAACAGAAAGGTTCAACTTTCAGATTACTACTAACTTATAATAAGAACCCAAAAAGTGTAAAGGTTGGGTATCGGAGAATTAAGGTTATGCGACTGGAATCTGCAAAACGACACGCCAACCCAAGAAACAAGAGAGTGCAGCCTGACATCTGAACCCCTTGAACCACCTAAACCCTAAACCCTAAACTTCCAACATAATTACCGATACTATCTTGGGGGTTCCTTACTATAATTACAGTATAATGGCCCCCCAGAACCCTTCAGGCCCCTAAACCCTAGACCTTAAACCCCAAACCCGAAACCCTAAACCCGAAACCCCAAACCCGAAACCCTAAACCTCAAGCCTGAATGCCCCAAACTCTGATCCCGAATCAGTCAATCTAAGGCCCGGGCGTGGGCGGCTGTGGGGGCCTGGCCGAGTCGCGTTTCATTGAAACTTCCGGTTTAGGCTCAGGGGGTTTTGGGTTTGGGGGTTCAGGGTTTAGGGCTTAGGGTTTGGGGGTTCAGGGTTTCGGGCTGAGGGTTTAGGGTTTAGGGGTTCAGGGTTTGGGTTTGGGGGGGGTTGAGTTTGGGGTTTGAGGTTTTGGGGTTTGGGTTTGGGGGGGTTTCGACTGGAAGGTGTTGGGTTCAAGCTCATCCTGGGGGGCTAGGTTCCCTGACCCCTAGGCCCGTAATATAGGGGGCCTTAATCATTAGAATGGGTTTTGAGGGTTTAGGGTAATTCGAACCGGGTTTTGAGGGTTCCTTTTGAGAACTAGACTACTAGACTATAGTATAAACAGACCCCAAAACCCTAATCATTCTACAGCGCCAGCACTGAATAAGAAAACATTGAATTAAGAAACCAGCCCCTGAATTTGCGCGGACCTATACCAAAATCTGCGAAAAGCAAGCAAAAGGAAATAAGAAATTCAGGGTCCCCTACCCCCGAAACCCAATTTCTTATCCAATTTCTTAAATGCTGCCACCAAGACCGGAAATGCTCAGGGCTTCGGGATTTAAAGCTTCAGGTAAAAACCTGCAGCAAATCGGCGAGAGTTTCGAAATTCGCCCAAAGGCAAGTAGAGGTGAGGATGTGATATCCGGTGCTTGGACGGGTTTAGGGTTCCTGCAGCAAATCGGCGAGAGTTT